TAACAGACAGGAGTCCTGAGTCTAAGGCTGGAGAAATGGGAGGTTCCAGAACCCGCTAGAAGTCCTGAACAGAGCTTGCTCACGGGGAACCAAGCAGCACTTTCTTTGGGCTTCCCTGGGATCCCATGGTATCCTCCTCATTGCACTGGCTCCGACAACATCTTCTGGCATGACACTGGGGGAGTGTTGCACATCTCAACCTCAGCGCAAGAGGCAAGGGTGGCACCTGCCCCATCTCTGTCTTCTGCACGGTGCCACACAGTGTCTTCATGCTTGATTGGCGGAAGAAGGAACCAGTGTTGGAACAGCTTTCTGTACCTCCCACACCTCCCAGGGTCCTGCTGTATCCCATCTTTCCTTCTCACACCTCCTGCTGAGGACCCCAAACTTCTCCCCAGACCCTATCCTCCTACTGCCTGGCACAAAAACTGACCACACCAGCCAGCATCGGAGGGCCTGACTTCACTTATCATGGGGTGCAGAGTCCCCCAGAGCACAGACATTCGCACACAGGCAGGGAGCTGCATCACCAGCTGGTTAGGGCCAGGCATGCCCCCAAGGACCCATCTTCATTGCAGGAGCTAGACCTGTCCTCTTCTGGCCATGATATCCATCCTAAGTGTCACTGAAGACGACTCCAGCATCCTGTTCGCATTGCCACTGCAGCTCTCCTCCCTGGTTACACCATACTGATGACTCTATTTCTGGGACCGCCTGTCCAGTCCACGTCCTAGTGAGATGTCTTTTTCCTGGATTAGGGGCAAACCTTGCTGCAGCTTAGATTTACAACAAGAACTATCCTTCTTTATAAATCTTCGTTTCAAGTTCTCAAGGAAAAGGGTGTGGAATGAAAGGAAGCCTGGTGGGAGGCTGGGAACTGGGTTTGCATGGAGAAGCAGCCAACTTGTTTTAGTACATGAGCGAGATCATGAGTGAGCTTATGAGCTACCAGAAGCTTGTTGCTGTAGCAGCCAGAGGACAGACCAGTGCTTTAGCAGTGTCTGTGTCCTGTGTGATTAGTGTCAGCAAGAGTACTCTGACACAGCCTTAGAACAATGCCAGTTCTGCCACTTAAATATCCTTTGAATATTCCTCCCACCATTTGGACTTAGGGGACTTAGTGACACATATCCTTGGACCTGAATCCTTCCACTGGGATGCTCATACAGAATAGAACAGATTCCTACAGGGGAGACTGCTGGATCAAAAGAGGTGTATATTTTATATGTTAGTCGATGTTGCTGGACTACCTCCCAAAGACTGTTCCAGCTCATGACTTTTGGAACTTGCGAGTCCCTGCTCCCCATACCCCATCCACCCCACACGCTGGACCTGGGCATGCCCAACCTATCTGATGATCGCCTGATGATGGCATCTTTCTGGGCTTGTTGTTAGTTTCTTCTCTCAGTTGTTATTTTCTATTTTGGAAGGGGTTTTTTTCCCCCCAATTAGGTTATTTATTGTATTACTGGTTTGTAGAATTTTTTGTAACAGGCCATGTGCTAGATGTGTTATATGTCCTGCAGATAGTTTTCTTAAATTTTCTTTTCAGCAAATGGTATTATAATAACTAAATGTGCAAATGCAAAAAAAAGTAAGATGAGTCTCAGTCTATACCTTATATACCTTACCTTTACACAGAAATTAATTCAAATTATATGAGGGTTCTTCAAAGTTCATTAAAAATACATACTATGAAAAAACTATGCGTGGATTTCAGATTTTTTTGCACCAGAATAAACTCATTCTAACTTGTCTGAGCAAGTTCAATGAATCTGAGCAGGAAGGATCTCATTTGAGGACAAGACGTCAGTTAGATGACCCCTGTCAGAGCAGTATGAATTCTGCTAAAATTGAAGCAGGAACAAACATCAAGTTATGGTGAAGCCTGAGTGGAGGAATGGTGAAACTGATGTTTACAAGAAGGTTATGGGACAACACCCCAAAAGAATTAGCAGTTTATGAATGGGTAACTCATTTTAAGAAGGGATGAGGTAATGTTGAAGAGAAAACCTGCAGCAGCAGATCATGCACTCACTTTACAAAGGAAAACATTCATGCCCTAATTGAAGAAGACCAGCAATTAGCAGCAGAAACAATAGTTAGTACCATGCACCTCTCAACTGGTCCAGCTTGCATGATTCTAACAAAAAAAATAAAGAGAACTTTCCATTCATGGGCTCCAAAACCGTTGCACCCAGATCTGTATTCTCAGCCAGTATGCATGACCCACAGCATAGTAACTTGAAACCATTAGTGTTGCTAATAGAAAAATCATATAGTTCATTTATAAGAGACAAAAGTGTCTGATGTCCACAGAAAAGGGTCATCAGTCACAACAGGGCAGTTCAGAAACACCAGCCATGGAAAACATATGCAAGTGAAGTCAAGTTCCTGAAATATTTCTCAAAAGAGTTGTAGAAGAAACTGGAGCCAGGCTCGGTGGCTCAGCCTGTAATCCCACACCTTTGGGAGGCTGAGGTGAGTGGATTGCCTAAGCCCGCGGGTTCAAGACCCACCTGGGCAGCGAGACCTCATCTCTACAATAAATCAAAAAATCAGCTGGGCGTGGTAGTGCGCGCCTGTAGTTCCAGCTACTCGAAAGGCTGAGGCGGAAGGATCGCCAGAGCCCAACAGGTCGAGGCTGCGGTGGCCGGGAGCAGCCACTGCACTCCAGTCTGAGTGACAGAGTGAGACTCCAACTCAAAAAAGAAAGAAAGAAAGAAAGAAAGAAACTGGAACGTTGAAGCTTCCCCAGCTCAATCCTGAGACAAGCACAGTTGGAGTAGTGGCTGCCAAGAGATGGATGTGTTCCACTCAAGCAGTACGGACAGCCAGGAGCAGAGGTCATGGCAACAGATTTTGGGATGTTCAAGGCATTTTGCTTGTTGTCTTTCTGGAGTGCCAAAGAATGATAGCATCTGCTTATTGTGAGAGTGGAGACAGTTAGCCAGAGCTTTAGCAGGAAAACCTCGGGAAAGCTTTTATCTTTTAATTACATTTTTCCATAAACTTTTTGGCATCCCCTCATGGACCCAAATATGAAGGTACAGTTTTCAGAAGAAAGCAGAGAACATCTCTGTGATCGGGCATTATACAGTGAGTTTTCACTGATGATGCTACAAATACTGGCCATAAAAACGAAACCACCTTTGCTTTGCAAAAGAAGCTGTGAAGAGAATGAAAAGCCAGCCCACAGACAGCAAGAAGAGATACACCACACGCACCTGAAAAGCACTCACACACAGCATGTAAGACAGTGGGAAGCATATGCCTGATAAAAATTGAGAAATGCTGTGTTCACACCAGTTTTGAGTCCAAGCCCTCGGTGTTGTATAGCAATTAAAATTAAACCTTTCCTCGGTAGAAAATATCCATTGCAATTAAAAGATGATGTGTTCGTGTAAGTCTTGGATTAATGGGTGCATTGCTGTGTATAAAAGAATCTCGTGTATCCAGGAGTTCCAGCATGTGCTGGAAGATGGCACATCCCATCTCACATGGAGCAGAGGGCAGCGGGGATGGCTGTTGTCCTGTGGCCCAGCACGTGCTACCTGGGAGGCCAGGCAGCCTTGACAAGATGCACAGTTATGGCGCTCACGTGTTTCCCTTTGTTCTTGGTCGTTTTTCTTACCATGTGAAAAGCTGGTGTTTCTGAACTGCCCTGTTGTGACTGATCACCCTTTTCTGTGGATATCAGACATTTTCATCTCTTATAAATGAACTATATGCTTTTTCTACTAGCAACACTAGTGGTTTCAAGTTACTATGCTGTGGGTCGTGCATGCTGGCTAAGACTACAAATGTTCCATTGTTCTGTATATGCATACAGTACCATATATACACACGATGTGTTAAATAGGTGTGCATGTTAGCAGAAAAAACGTTCTAAGGTATTCCCATGTGGTGACGCCGCCACAGCATGCTCTCTCCAGGGGGTTTTTCAGACCCAGAACTCAGGACTAGAGTTGCCCTGTTACCCTTGATCAGGGTCAGATCAGATAGACGGTACGTATTTCGTCGGACTTTCATTTAAGGTTGTCGCTGAGTTTCCCTGGGCCAGTGAGACACCCCACAGCCTGTACGGCCACTGGAAGGGAGAGTGTTTTCTGCAGGTCATTCACTGATTGGGACTCTGGGACTCTGGCGTTTCGTGGGTGTGATATGGTTCATATCCACAGACATCCATGGAATTGGGCGTACTGCGGTGGCTTGTAGTAGAAACCGCGTGGCGTTTGCTGGTTGGTGCAAAGCGCTGGTACCCGTTTTAGTTTTTGTGACAACAATTCATTTTAGCAACTGCCTGAGGAAAGGCATTTTGAGACAGTTGCCATTGAGAGCCCCATCGCATCACCTGGGATGTGTGTGTCAAGACAGCTGCCATTCTTTCATTTCCTGACAGAACACGCACAGTCACTCTAATGGGCTCGTCTAACTTTTCTGGTCTTATTTTCTGTTTTTTAAGGTTCTTTAGTGCTATAAGCACTTACTATCTACCTAAAAATATTTTTGCAGAAAGGTAAAGAATTCCTGTGTCAGTGATTTGTGTGGTGTCCTCATGTGTGACTGAGAGCCGGGTGGTCTTTTACCAGCGTTTGGTCCTCTGCTGGCCATCCACACCTCAAAATGTGGAGCCTGGTAGTGAAGGGAATAGGATGAGCACCTGTGACATGGCCCCAGGTCTGAGGATCTGTGTGCATCCTTAACTGTGGAGTAGACATGGCTCCTGGGTCCTGTGGACCATGGGTATCCCCAACCATGGTGTACACATGGCCCCAGGTCTGGTGGCCCATGTGCATCTCTGACCATGGAGTAGATATGATTCCCAGGTGTGTGGCCCTGACTGTGGAGTACTGTGGCCCTGGGTCTGGTGTTCCGCACATGTCTTGGCCGAGAATTGTATAGAAACCAGAAGTTCCCCTTGTAAGTACAGACCACAAAAGGACAGGGCACCACATTTGTGTGCTATGCATGTCTCACCCCGGTCTACTTCTTTCTAGAGGCCACAAGAGGAAGCTGAATGAGGAGGATGCCCCCAGTGAGTCCAGCAGGGAGTCGAGCAACGAGGAGGGCAGCAGCTCGGAGGCAGACGAGATGGCGGCTGCCCTTGAGGCGGAGCTGAATGACTTCATATGAGCGGGGCCAGAAGGATTGGGCCCACAGCCATACCCGCCTCAGCAGACCTCAGACTTCCTGCCCCATGTGGGTTTCTTTCTCTCCAAAAGGACGTGTATATTTTACAGAGCTCCATATACAGAACACATTATTTTGCAGAAACAAGTGTTTTTAAGAAGTTTTACTAGAGGAATCTACTTTTGTACGTGGCCCTGTGTGCTATGCCAAAGAGATCAGCAGAGCCTCATGTGTGGCGGGGCTGGGTTTGTGGTTTGTTGTGGGTGGGGCAGGTGGTCTTCCCCATGTATACCAGAGCATGTTGTTCAGAGGGGAGACTTTAGGAGCTGACAAGACATGAGGATGGCATGGCACGAGCCTAGGGTCTTGTCCTGCCTCTCCACAGCAGGAGCCGTCAGAACCGCCGAGCATTTTCAGATGTAACAGAACACTGAGACTAATGCAGACACTCCCTCCCCACCTCCAAGGCCCTGTCTGTTTCTGGGTGATGTCACCAGCACAGGGAGCCATGGGGTTTCCTGCACAGGGTTCATACCTTGTGGCCTGGGCTGCCATCAGGCTGTCCTCCACTGGGCGCCATGACAAGGGCGTGTCACCTTCCTTGGGCAACCTTTTACTTCTTGGAGAGATCTGATGTAAAGTTTCTGTGTATCTGTTTCATATCGGACCCACCAACCAGAGTTTCCTTTAATAAAAATCTTTTTTGTACATTGTGCCGTGTCAAGGCGTTGCCACAGGGAGCAGGCCCTGTCTCTGGGCTCCTCCTCTGCTGGGATCCAGCTCAGCTGCCCATTTGTGGGCGGACCAAGCTGTTCCCAAGCTGGCAGCACAGAGACACATCGTGCTGAACCAGTCCACAAGTGCCAGGGCCATGGAGGGTTATGGTAGAGGGTACCCCACTTGGCTCTGGTACACCACTCTAGGCTATCACTCTTTCTTCCCGTTATTTGGGGGGATTTTTCAAGATTGCACCAGAACATTAAGAATGCAAACAATCATTGTTATATCTAGTTACTATGTTAGATTTACAAAAATTAGCACTGAGACACCCGATGAGCAGAAGGCAGCTCTGCTGGGAAGGCTCCAGCAGAGGGCAGGAGTCGTCCCACAGCATGTCCGCTGCACAACTGACCTGCAGTGGCTCCCAAGGAGGCCAGGTCTGCCTGACAGGCCCCACGTGAGAAACAAGCACACAGTGGCCTCGTCCTCAGGTCCTCCTGCTCTGAGCTTTCTAGACATAGCCGACTCAACCTGTGGTGCCCTGTGCGTTCTGTGGGTGCAATCTCCACAGAACTCAGCTATGGGTGAAGCCCAGAGGCCACGCTGTGTCCATGCTGTCATGGTCAATGCCCTGATTTTGTTGTATGAAGAAGAGAACACCAGGCCTGGGCCTTGGGCTGGGGCGAGTGTTTCTCTAAAGACTTTTAATGAAGAAGTCTTCATTAAAAACTTGTCAACCATAGCAGTACCTCTGACCTTTCCAATTTCTAATTAGTACAAAATGTATTAAAAAATGAAGTACAGCCGAGGCAGGAGGATCACTTGAACTCAGGACTTCAAGACTGCAGCTGTGCCACTGCACACCAGTCTGAGTGATAGAACAAGACTCCATCTGTTTAAAAATTAAAAACTGAAGTGTTAAGCAAAGGCTATGTATTGTTCATACTCTCACCAGTTGCAAGTAGCAGAATCACAACTTCAGGAAGCATACATTTATATAGATTTTTCTGAGAAGTTCTGGATAACTTCTGAGAAGCTTCAGGTACAGCTTGATCGGGGTGTTCTCCAATATCAGGAAACTGATTTCTCTTGTGGTCGGTCCTTTCCTCTGCTTACTTCAGCCTTGGGTGGGCCTTCTCCACATCATGGTTAAGGTAGTCAGACTCCATCCACACTCCTGAGTGATGTGGACAAAGAGGAGGTGGAGGTGTCATCCTGGACCAGGAACAGTATTGGACAGTGAACAGATCCAGAACCAGGCACAGTCCCTGCCCATCCTCCTCACCAAGGTAGGTGACTGAAACACATCCACATCCCCATGCTTTCGAGTCCAAGTATTTCCTGTGAAACAGAAAAGGGAAAGAGCCTCATGATGATCTGTGCAAAGGGGCAGGAAAGGCAGGATCATGGAAGACCCCTCTAAACATACGACTGGGTTTGTGGCCCGGCACGTGTAGGCATGTTAAGTGTTAAGCACTGATTATCAGATTATCTTCCTGCATTATTATTATTATTATTATTATTTTGAGTTGAAGTCTCACTCTGTGCCCCAGACTGGAGTGCAGTGGCCGCTCCCAGCCACCGCGGCCTCGACCTGCTGGGCTCCAGCGATCCTTCCGCCTCAGCCTTCCGAGTAGCTGGAACTACAGGCGTGCGCTACCACACCCGGCTAATTTTTGACTTATTGTAGAGATGAGGTCTCGCCAAGTTGCCCAGGCGGGTCTCGAACCCACGGGTCCAGGCAATCCACTCACCTCGGCCTCCCAAAGCACGGGATTGCAGGCTGAGCCACCGAGCTCGGCTGTATTATTATTCTTGTTAATATCTTTCTACATTGTGACTCTTAGTTTTTTACATGCCTAATGGGGCCAATGTGACCCAGGACCTCAGGCTGGGCTGTTAGGTGGGCTCAGGTGTCCTTCCCATCTGCCAGGCGTGTGCAGCAAGTAGGGGGTCCACCTTGTGGTCACTGCCCTTTCCAGAGAGAACACTCTTCTCCTTTACTCCTGGCTTCATCTCTGCCTAACCGTGGCGTGGGACAGAGGTGTGGTGGATGTTGTCTCTGTATGTAGGATGCAGCTTCTGCAGGCTCTCAAGCCTCAGGCCATCTCTGTTGGACTTGGGGCCCTCCCCTGTGGGATCCCCATGGAGGCCAGCTGAGGAGGCATCCTCAGTGACAGGAGGACAGCCGTGGAGTTGGACCAGACTCACCAACAGGCGGGCTGTCTGGCTCCTGCCGGCCCCAGGTGACTGCATTTTGATACTAGAGCAACTGCAGAGCCAAATTCAGGGGCAGCTTTGCCATTGTCACTCTGGGGGCTCGCAGACTGTGGTCTCACAGAGTCCTGGGTAGCTGGAGCTGCTCAGGGAGCCCCTTGTGTCCAGAGAAGGAGCTGCGAGCCGCATCCTGGCTCAAGCACAGGCGATTTTGTCACCAGCAGGCCAGTATCTACGGTGAACTGGGCAGAAAAATGAAAAAGATATACCCAGAAGGCACGTTTCTTGCAGTTTAGTTTCTAGGGCACAACATCCAGGAGTAGCCATCACATGTTGTGGGGGCAGGGCAGACACTGAGGGAGGCTTCCTTCTCAGTGGGAGCACCTCTGATTTCTGCAGTGCCTTCTCCTGGAGCACTGGGACTTGATTCTGCTTGCAACATGTCCCAGACAGGTTATTGCAGTAGACCAGGGGTGGTCCCACCCAGATGTAGGGGATACTTGTTCCTCTCTTGGCCAAATTCTTCTGACTCTAGAAAGTCTGACTATGCTCTGTGAAGCCTTTCTTTTCTTTTCTTTCCTTTCCTTTCCTTTCCTTTCCTTTCCTTTCCTTTCCTTTCCTTTCTTTCCTTTCCTTTCTTTCCTTCCTTCCTTCCTTCCTTCCTTCCTTCCTTCCTTCCTTCCTTCCTTCCTTTCTTTCTTGTTGGAATCTCACTCCGTCACCCAGGCTGGAGTGCAGTGGCACACTCACGGCCACCCCAGCATCGACCTGCTGGGCTCCGGCGGTCCTTCTGCCCCAGTGCTACCATGCCCAAGTAATTTTTTTATTCATTGTAGAGATGAGGTCTCGCCAAGTTGCCCAGGTTGTTCTCAAACCCATGGACTCAGGCAGTTCCCTCACCTCAGCCTCCCAAAGTGCTGGGATTACAGGCTTGGGCCACTGCATCCAGCCCGTAAAGCATTTCTTAAATATGAAGTCAAAATACAGGTGGGGGTGCAGAGCAGCAAGGACGAGGCCTGGATTGGGAGTAGGTGGAGGGACAGAGGGTGTGACCCCTGCCTGCCTGGTCGTGCAGGGTCTCCTGAGTGCCCCCCACTACGAGCTGCCTGGTTTGGTCACACAGTCTCCAGTGTTTTGTTCATTATGTGTTTCTGCCCCCTCTGCATGTTCGAGACAAACTTCCCCAGGGAAAGTCAGTGGAAAAAGTATCCAGGGGGTGGCCAGGGTCTCCTGAGACAAGGAGCGAAGGGTTCCCAGTTCCTAGAGGAGCAATGGAGTCTTCACACTCTCGGATAGCCCACAGGGGCAACAGGGCAACCCTGAAATAGGAGAGCAGCGCCACCAGCCACACCTGTGCCACTGTGCACCACGCCCACACCCCCAACAAGACCGAGGTGGTCCTGGCACCAGGCACAGCCACTCCCGCAGCTTAAAATGAGATTTCCTCTCGCCCACCTCACTCTGCACAGCAGCAGGGCCACTGCCAGTCTTGAGGCCCTGTCACGTCCTTGGCACTGACATCTTTAGGCACCAGCTGGGTCCTCGTAGCCATGACTTGGGCAGCTCCCCATGGAAATGTCACTTCCAGGAAGTGGAGTGTGTTCTGCACGGGAGGAAGGGACATCTCCGTGGGACTCTACCAATGAAAGGAACTGCTGAGTTTTAGGGAAAATGTTAAATATGGAATAATCCGTACAGCTGCCCCAAATAAAGTCTTCCTTAAAGGCTTGTTTTGTTTTTTTGAGTTGGAGCCTCACTCAGTTGCCCACTGCATTCTAGCCTGCATTCCACATTCAGGCCACTGCGGCTTCGACCTGCTAGGCGCAAGCGATCCTTCTGCCTCAGCCTTCCAAGTAGCTGGAACTACAGGCATGTACCATCGCACCCAGCTAATTTTTTTATTTATTGTAGAGACGAGGTCTCAACAAGTTACCCAGGTTGGTCTCGAACCCCTAAGCTCAGGCAATCCTCTTGTCTCTGCTTCCCAAAGTACTGGGATTACAGGCATGAGCTACCACACTCGACTTCTTTAAAGTTTTAATAGGAAACTTGAACTTACTTCCCTGAGTGTAACTTTTATATGTCAGGTTTTAAACTTACCATGGCTGTAAGGAGATTTATGAAAGGATTCGAGAAGGTAACTCATTAAAGTCTGAATGACATCTCTGCATATATAGGTAATACATTTTAGTCCTTACGAACTTTCAAAAATCCATCACAGTTGAAATTTAATGAAATGTTCTTCCTTTTCTTTTTTGAGGAACTGAATGTTGAAATCTCGTCTAATAGCATAACTGGTTTTTCATATCGAGTTTCAGAATAACCATGACACTCTAACTGGTGAGTCCATGTGTTTTGAGCACAGGCTTCGTGGATGTGGGGCTCGGGCTTCTGCAAATTTGTACAAATGATGAGTATCCACCATGTGGTGTCACACAAAATCGTGTACTGCCCTGACAATCCTTGCTCCACCCACACATCCTCCACTCTGTCCCCTGGCAGCCACTGATCTTTTTACCATTTCTATTTTCCCTTTTGAGAACATCATAGGATCGGAATCATTCAGGATGTGGCCTTTTCAAACCGGCTTTTTTTTTTTCTTGCTTAGTAGTATACATTTGAGGGCCCTCCAGATCTTTTCATGGCTGGATAGTGCATTTCTCTTCAGTGCTGAATTATATTCCATTGTCTGGCTGTGACACAATTCATTTATTCACTCTACTGCTAAAGGCATCTTGCTTGTTTCCAAGTTTTGGCAATTCTGAGTAAAGCTGCT